AAATGGACAGAGCTCCATCACGAACAACCCTCTGGTATCCTGCTCAGCATTCCTGGTGGGCAACTAACAAGACAGTCAGCCAAGGCTCAGATGTTGAAAGAAAATCTGGTTTGCATTGTGCTCTCAGCAGACAGTAGGGGCACAGGCTTTAGAAAGGCATAGTCACAGTATTTCCTGTTTGTCTGGGAATTTGTTTGGTTTCCTGGTTTTTTTCCCCCCTCTCTATTTTTTTTGAAAGCTATTTACTAGGACAGACAGAGAGTAATAATGATGGGACATACTTGCAAACTCTTCTGAGTTAATCAAGCATACAAGTTAGACTGAGGGCAATACTGGCTCTGTTCCCAATTCATATGTATTCAGGTGATCTATATAACTTGAAGAACTGTTTGAAGAGTTGTTTTTAATCATAAAATATGGTTCTGTGTTGACCATACTCATCCAGTTTCTGTGAACCTAAAAAATTATGCTTTCTATCTGGTAACCAGAAATTTCTATGTGTATTCCTAATGGACACAATTACTATTAGATATCTGTTTGCTGCTGAGCTGACCTTACTTGGTATTACAAATCAATAAATCACAGGCAGACATTTCTGTGTCACCTTTCTCAGGATATGAATTCTCCTATTACATGAGCATTTCTATTTTAGAGCAGTGTAACCTACATAGGCATGCAAATACTGCAGTCAACACCACAGTGCCTCTTCCTGAAGAACACCTCATACAGTCATTAATATGTGCTATTTCTGCTTTGTTCACCTACCTTTTCTGCATGCAGGTACATGAGCTCAGCTTTCTTTTAGCATATCCCAGGGCTTCCTCTTTGTTTAAGCATATATTCTATCAGAAAGGTAGGGTTAAAATCCTCTTTTCCTGAGCATTAAAAGTGATGAAGTTTGTAATGATAAAGTTTGCGATGAAGTTTTGGGTTTCTTTCACCTTTCATCCCTGTGTCCCGAAGTGTTCACAGGAAAGCTCTGACTCCTGTGTAGATGAATATCTGATTATTACCTGTAATACCTATGCCTTGATTAGTGACTACATGCTCTGTCTTGGAGCTGCAGAAGAGTTTTTTTAGACTGCTGAGCCCATGCCATTGAAGGGGCTAAAACTAAGGGCTTGGACAGGTGCTGAGACAACACTGCTTCCCAAGGGAAGGCAGCCTCACAGAAATTCCTTTCCAAGGAGATGTGCCACTCCATTCTGTAACAGGTGGTGTTTTCTGAGGGACCAGCCTTTGCACATTCACCATTGCATATACATTGCATTGGCAGGGGTTTTGTACCTCCATTGCTGAACAGCAATTACATATTAATACACACTGAAGTGTTGAGTGAAAAATATTTAAGCTTGTGTCTGATGCCACATATTAATAACAACATATTTGTATAATTAGCTGGATGACTTCTTGGAATATAGAACTGTGACTTTTTTATTACTTTACGAGTGTCATATGTGATTATTAATGAAAAATTATAAAAATCTTCATTCAGTTTCCAGTAGAGAGTAAACTTCATGTTTTTGCTATTTTCATTTGCCACGTGAAAGATAAATAAAAATATCTAGAATTTAAACTTAAATTAGTCTATTAGAGGAAAACCCAGTATCATGGCTACTTTATCTGATAAGTGTACTTTCTTGTATTTTTTTAGTCCATTTTTGTCTTTTTTTGAAGATACTCCCTCCCTTATGTACAATGTGAATTGCAACTTACTGTGCCTTCTCAGCCTCCACTAGTACTGACACTACACAAAATATCAGGAGCAGAATAAAATTCCTCTTGTCTCTACCCTGGACCATACATTCCCTTTACACTTTTTCCTTCTTCTGTGAGACTATGGGGCATTTTTTGGATACTGGATGAATCTGCCTGACTTGCTAGTGTATGAAAATCTCTATCTGCACAGCTATAAATGACCATATGTTTGGATTTTATTGTGGACTTCTGAAAGATCTTTTTTTTTTTTTTTTTTATGATGCCACCAGACAATGTTTATCATCATAACAAGACACTCCAGACTGTACTTTGTTGCCTCAGAATCACGGTCTTTTTACAGTTGAGGACTCTTATCTGTCCACTAGTCTCTTATTCCAGCCCAGAAGTGTGATTGTGACCAAACAGCAAGCCTCTTGGTGTCCAAATCCTCCACACCCTATTATAGTTGTCCTCAAGATTCTTTGGAAAGACCTGCCAACTTTGACAATGTACAAAATCAAATTGAAGCTATCATGTCATTCTCATTATTCTGTGCCCCCAAACAATTCAGGGTATTAATAGAAATGTAGACAGCTCAAATTGTTGAAGGTTTAATCTGGGTGATTTTTGAATTACTTTCCTAGCAAACAAGACTGAAATAAGCCGAGTCATTTTTTCCATCTGAAAGAATATGATACTCCCTGCAGGATGGTTTTGATTTTTGAGCAGTTCTATTCCTAATTTATATGTCATTCTCCAGAAACAAAGGTTAGGCCAAAATTGACAATTGCTTTAGTTTTAAATTGTCATGTTTGTAGCAAGCAGCAAGTCTTGCTCAGCTGACATAATCATCAGTCTGGCCAGAATCTCAAGACTTAAGGATCAGAAGAGTCACTTAAGATTCCTGGTCTAGTGGAAGTGTCCCTGCCCACGGATTGATTCTATTTTTAATTCCTGTGAGGTGAATTCACACTTTTCAGAAATATCTGACCTTAAGTTAGGTTGATGTGGGATGCACCGATATCTGCCATAGAATTACAGTTTTCAAACACAAGGACAAGATCTGCTTTCAGAATCAATTGATCACTGAGGTCTGTCCTCCATTGGGGTTTCTCTGGAAGGATATATTGGTATCACAAAAAAATGGAATGCCTTTGTTGCAAATGACACCTGTTTCAGGACTGCTAAAATACACGGGCAGAAAGTTCCATTCAGTATTCCACACAACCAGAAACTGTCTTTCCTCTCAGTGAATTAAACAGAAGAATTGTTAGTTTGAATAGATCCTGGGAAAAAGAAATCCTCATACTATTTGTCGTATTCTAAAAGGCATTTGTGCTGAGCCTGAACCTCCCGTAACTGCTCTAAATTAAACGTGCCCTTCATGCTGGCCAAGGGGTTCAGTTTGAAAATCTCAGCTTTTATCAGTTCAGCTGTGGAAGACTGAATTAACAACAGAGCTCTAACAGAGCTCCTTGAACTGAAAGAACTAAGCCAAATACCAGTTTTATCAATTTGCTTTGGAAATGAAAACACTAATTATTTATGGAGTTGTGCAGTATTTCATGACATGCAATTTCATTTCCGACAGATCACATAATTGTATTACAGTGGATGGGATTTGCAAATGCAGGGTACTGATCCAAGACCCTTCACACTAAAAAGCTTGGGTGATTGATAAGGATAATTTTTGGGGTTTTTTATTTCTTTCTAATCTGTTTTCTTGCAAGTTTTAATGAATTATGAATGTGTTCATGCATGTGCCCAAGTGTAAAAGAGTGCATACTTTCTTCAGCCATTTTCATGATGGCTTTCATTGAAATGACCTTTACAATATAGATTCTTGAAGGGAGTAAAGCAGATATGTTTCAGTAGATATATTGGAACAATGAGGCCATCACAGCTTAGGGTGTGTCTCTTTTGTCCAGGTAAAAAAACTTCAAACAACAAGGAAAAAAAAGAACCTATTCTGAAAGCTTTTGTTTTTAATTTGTATACAATTTTTTTTCTGTCTCAGATACTCTGACCTCACTTGCAGGTTCTACCTTCCTTCTGACATCGGTTTTATTTATTTGAAAATTGATATTGGTTATATGTGAAATTAGTGTGTGAAAATGTTATCTAGCATTTAGAATCATAGAATTGTTTAGGTTGAAAAAGACCTCTAAGATCATCAGGTTCAACCATTAACCTGGAACTATCAAAACCACCACTAAACCATGTCCCTAAGTGCCACATCTACATATCTTTTAAATACCTCACAACTACTTCCCTGGACAGCCAATTCCAATACTTGATAACCCTTTTGATGAAGAGGTTCTTCCTAATATCCAACCAAACCTTACCCTGGTGCAACTTGAGGCCATTTTCTCTCATCCTGTCACTTGTAGCAGGTCGTTCACCTTTTCCCCTTGGATTTATGGGGGCTTCATTCTACACCCCATCCCTGTTTTCCAGCTTAAAGAGCTGGGTACCTGAACAACTGATCTTACTATTAAAGACTGAGGCAAAGAATGCATTGAGTACCTCCTGCATCCAGAATAGGATGAAGATTCTCCTTAGCACTCATTTTGTTGCTAATATATTTATAGAAACATTTTTTTATTGTCTCTTATAGCAGTAGCTAGACTAAGCTGTAGTTGGACTAGAGACCACCAGTGCTCTGCTGAACCTTGTAGAAAACAATTTCCTATAGCTAGATTTTTTTTACACAAAATTTTAGCTGGCATGATTTGAATGACTCTCTCCTTTTTTCCATTTTTATTAAGTGTGACCTACCTTAACTTTTGCAGCATCTTGTCCCAGGGTAAAACCAAACAAAATAAAAAGAGCAAGAATGTTAACTTTCTAAAGGTCATGTCTCTTATGATTAATGTGTTGTTTTGAACACAAATATCACTTAGCAATTATAATGTGAATGCAACTACCAAATTTTTAAGAGAAAAAGGGCTTGCTTATGTATTTGTTTAGAGTTATGCTACCCAAAGCCATTTGGAGAATGAATGTTTCCCATAGGTATCCACACTTCATTTGCAAATCAGACCAAAAAATTGTAAAGGCCATGAGTTCTTTCATATTTTCACACTGCAACCTGTGATTTCAACCTGACATTTCCAGTCTGCCTTAGATGAGTGGCTTCTGTGCTAGCTTTTATTCTGTTGTTAAATACATGGTTAATAATGTGGAAGGTGAGGGGCGAAGGGGGGAATGCTCATAGAATATGGATGAAGGCAGAAGGAGCTTTGTGTCTTTGGCAATCATAATTACTTTCTTTTTTCTCTTTTTTTTTTCCACTTGTGCAGAGTGAAAGTGCTGCATGGACTGTCCTGAAATGCCAACTCTCTGTCAATGTCATCCATCAAGGGTCGAACAAGGACTCACTCTGACAGATATCTGTGCCTTAAAGGTAATTACCTTAAACTCAGTAACACTGAATTAAGCACTGGTTATAAAGCAAGACACTTAAGACCAATATGGAATGTAAGGTGTTGCTTTGTGTTTATTTTACAGCTACTTTGTTTACACTGTTACATATACTGATGACATAAATTAATCTTCTTGCTCTCTTTAGATCACATGAACTGTTTGTAGTGATACTAGAGTGGGTGTTAGCTGGCACAACAGCAGACTGCATTGATGTTAATGTTGCTGATAGTAGCAGTCAAAGGAGCACAGGCTTGAAACTCAGGCATCATGGTTCTGTCCCTGTCTCTGGGTGACCTTAGGTGAATTCTTTGTTTCCTCTCTACTTCAGAGTCCTCTCCCCTTGCTGAAGAAGGGATCCAGTGTACCCCCAGCTGTAACTGCAACAGAGATCCAACACATCATTTGGAGGCTTGTGGTTTAAAAGCTGGATTTTCTTAGTCTTTACTAGTTTTACTGACTATCATCAGTCAGTAAGATCAGTATTTTTTTCAGTCATACATTTAAAAAATAGAGTAAGCAGACTGGGGCTGGGAGGATTAATATGTTTCCTTTGATACTAGAATTCTATTATTTAGAGCTGTGCACTGCATTTTTATTCTCAAAGACTGCATGTGAAATACTATTTGCTGACTTCTCATCTATGTAATTAAAGCAAGCCCAATTATCAGAAGGGTTCTTCTGAGGCTTGGCTGCTCTGCTACGTATTCACTGTTTTCCATCCATTAAAAATCATCTTCTTTACCTCGTAGAGTAAATTTTTTGAAAAGTTAGAGAAATTATTGTCAACTTATATAGAGAAAAATAGGGTGCATTTGATTTTTTTTTTCCTAATTCCATACTTAACTAAATAGCTATGGATTTTCTAACTTGTTTTATCTGAAAATGCAACAAAACATTTCTGGTCTCTAACAGATGTCGTGAAGCTGTGCTTTTTTCTCTAGACTGTTTTGAACACATCATGATAACAGTCTCCTTCCTTAGGACCCTTAGCAAAGGAGCATAAGAGGCTTCCCACATACATCCAACTGCAGATTTAATTTTGAGATTGCTTTCTTAACTTAGGGAGCAACTGCATTCCTCATTTGTAATCAGCCTTACGTATTCTACAGCTCTCTGTGAGCAAGAATGCAGCCCATATTCTTTATGATGCCCCGTATTGCTAAATGCATAACTTTGATGTCAGAGCTATGGCTCAGCTTCTGTTTGCAGTTCACTTTCTGAAACACAGATCCTGTAGAAAGTACTGAATTTGTCAGTAAGAATTCTAATACATACATACTGTTTTCTCAATCTGGAATGCCCATGATAAATTTGAAGCAATCAGGAATACAAGGATCGCTTTAATAGCACCAGGTGTGCTTGTACAGCAAATGGCAGAGAAAGTGTTAACACTCCCCTATGCACTGACAAAGAAAAGACCTCAGCTGGACCCACTGATTGCTGAGATTGTCAGCCCAGCAACCCTGGTGACTTGGGAAATATTTGCCGTGTTGTAAAAAGAAACTCTCCAAATAGAAAGGTTTGCTACTATGTAAATGTGAATCTTTGGGTTGATTAGAAGATGTGAGAAAAAACTTTTCCTTATTCTCTTTCATAGTTTGTTTCAGAAGTACCTGCAGTTGCCTGTAGCCTTTCTGAACTCTGTCTTTTCCACATTGATGGTTTGTTTGTTCGATAAGACTCCTGAAAGTGCCAAAGTAGAAGAAGCTTTCACCTCTGAGTATAATTCAATTTCTGTATGGAAAGTGTCTTGACTCTTCTTTAACTCTGCTTTAACTTCTTCAAACTGAAATTCCAGGTAGTGGTAGAGAAGGCAAACAAACTCATACTTTCTGTCTTGTCCTCTTATCCACTTTGTCTGATACTCTACTAGCCTGCAAGGAAAAATGGAAGGAACTGGATTTTAGCCCAAAGACAAGACAGCTGAGGCATGCAGCAGGCTTTTAAAATATTTTAAAATTTTCTGCAAGGAGGAAAAGGAACAAACTGTTCTGTTCAAATTGTGAGACAAAAACTAATATGCTTAAAGTGGAACAAAAGGAGATTTAGGAGGAGCTTTGTAGAAAGAATGGTCCACAGACAAAGTTAATTAAGGACTAGAATAGATTGTATGTAGAGGCTGGGGAAGCTTACTCACTGGAGGTTTTTAGAGTGGTTACAGAACCATCTGTCAGAAATGCTTCAGTTGATTTGGGGTGGGTGGATGCACCAGGTGATCCATTTGAGTCTTTCTTACCCCCTTCTAGGATTTAGAAATAATAAACTAAAGAAAGGGGAAGGACTACCAAGCATCCACAGCAGGGTGACTTTCATACTCCAGTTTGAGACAGACTGGTTCACTTATGCAACTCTAGCTCCCACATTGTGGCAGTAATAGGAGGCTCCAAAAGTACTTAGCGTAAGTGGTGTATGTGAGTGTGTTCTGTCAGCCACATGCAGTCCTGTGCTAAAGGTAAAGAAAACTTGTACAGCACTAACCAGGTCTGGACTCGAGGGAATCTGAACCCAAGATATCAAATTATACACAGAAATACTTCCTACATAACACACCTTGAGAAAGTGGTTGGTGCAAGGTATTAAGGAAAGGAGGTCTGTGTTTGACCAGCCTCTTCACTGCCATGGGGCTGCCTAATCCCGAAGGGTGAGATGGGATTGCTGTGTTTGAGCACCATGAGAAGGAGTATTTGAAGGGGGTACCAAGTGCTGAAAATACAGCTGTGATCAAAAACTTTTTCACACACTGCACGGCTCTAGTCAAGCAGGTCAAGTATTCTCTGCTACCTTCCCATCAGGCACTTGCAGTGGAGGTGTGCTGATTGCTAGATCATTTGCTTTAAAGTAATAGGGGTGGTTTTAGAGTATTTGTTGTAGAGATGTGCATGATTCTGATTTGCCATGAAGTGTTGTCAGTTTTAAAGGAAATGGAATTATGCACACTTGTGTTAAGTTGAGGAATGGGATAGGAGTTCTCATCTCAGATGATACAGTTTCTTTTGTGTTGTATTTGATGACTTTTGAGTAATAAAATTACCTGATGGGATAGAGGGTTAATCTAGTTGTTCTTCCGGTAAGCAGCAAACTATTTTTAACTGGAGGTAAAGGGGTTAGTTAGTCTGTAATATCTGCATAAGTCGCACAGTGTTAATTTAAAAAGTTAATTTAGTTCATTTCTCTAGGAAATATTCTGCCTCCAGGAATTATCCTTTCTGCAGAAACTGTTCTGACTGTTTTCTATTGTCTATTAACATGATGCTTTGAGGATATTTTCTATGGGAATGCTCAGACTTAGGGATGTGCCCACCTGCAATGATATAACTAGCAAAGCAAATTGCATTATCCTCTCAGTAAGCATTTTAATTCTTTATTTTTTTAACCTGAGTTCTTGTAAATCAGCTAGAGCAATCAGTTTTAATGACTCCTCTAAGAGAAAAACAAACAACAGTGGAAAAGCTTTGTTTTTTAAGATTAATCCAGAAAAAAAGAGAAGAGGCACCACATTTTCCCCTCATCAACCCCCCCCCCCCCCATGCATAACCAATTCTCATTGCTTGTCCTGTGCTGGAGTTTATGAGCTTCCTGAGCATACAAAAGGTAAAGCTGAGAAGTTGTTTTTCAGTGTTTGCTGTGAACAGCAGTCATTCAGCAATCTGCTCAAAGGATTGCACCAACAGTAGGGAACAAGATGGCCATGGTCCAAAATACTCTGATTCTGGTCATTACATATTTAGTGATCCCCAAGTAAGTTTCCATCAATAAAGGGCTGAATTTTTTTGCACTGAAAGCCAGTGCATGGTTTCTCAGTTTAATTTAAGTGAGCCATCCTTTCTTCCAACCACCCTTACACAATGTATTTCTCTGACACAGTTCAGTTTTGAGGGGAGAGAAAAATTGGAAGATCTTAAGGACTGAGCACAAAACCAAGATGATTAATTGACTTCTTTCTGATTGCCAGGCTTCTGCTCCTTCCAGTTGTGGGAAATTCCCTCAACAGTAGTGTTGAGAGCCCTAAACAGAAATGGCAAAAACAATGAATTCTTTAGATTTGCTAGCATTCTCTCATTTCTCAGCAGACAGAATGTCTTGATTTGTGAATTTTTAAGATTGTAAGTTACAACCACAGAATCATAAAAAAGATGAAGTTGGAAGGAATCTCTGGAGGTAATCATCCAAATCTTATAGGTGTTCTAAAAGTCATGGGTTACAGTCATATAATTCTAAATCTGGTAATTTATTTATAAAATCATAGAATATTCTGAGTTGGAAGGAACCCATCAGGATCATCAAGTTCAACTCCTGGCACTGTGCAGGACACCCCAAAATCATGCCATGTGCCTGAGAGCATTGTCCACATGCTTCTTGAACTCAGACATGATTGGTGTATTTAGTTGTTAGTGGGTTCAGGATGATTCAGTGATGAGACTTTATGACTTTCACTGGGTCTTGCTGTGCATCTTCTCAGTACTTTGTCAGTTCTTCCAATAACTCTTTTACAGTCTATAGAACAACAGTCTTTCAACTAGTAGCCTTGGCATCTGCTGTGTGCATAGCAGCAGCTTCTGCTGAAGCAGTAAGTGCAGTTCCAGTGAAATTATGAAGAGTGTGCTGGTGAATTAAGATATTAATTTTCTGTTTTCTCCACCGGTTGATAGTCAGTTTTTGCTCTCCTTACATGATGCTTGGAATTATCACCTTTTCTTAATGATACCACCATAATTCAGTGTCACAGTAACAGAATCAGACCTTTTCTTCTTTAATCTATTTGTTTTTTGGGTTTTTTTCTTTACAACTGTCATCATCACATCTGTGATGGAATTGTGGACAAGCTTGTTTTCCCACCATTTAAGGTAGAACCAGTATACTATTTTATACTGGGTTAAAAGCATGGGTTTCAGATAAACAGTTCCATGAATTGCCCAGCTTTTGATGTGTTTATATACTTAGA